CACTGTTGTATGGCACATTGTTCTCAATTCTCTAGGATAATAATTTTATATACGTATTATTATTATTATTAGGTTTTCTTTTTCCCTCAAGTTGCTTTCTCTGTTTTGGTTTCTGCTCTTCAAGTAGTTGTGTCTTCATTTTCTTGCTGATCCTTGGCTCTCTTCTCACTTTTAAGAGAATGGAAGCTCTCTTAGCATGAGCTTGTTAGTTGTGGGCTCCAATGCATGGCATTAAAATGAAAAATCATTGGTGTCATAGGTCGGGAATTTTCTCTTAGGGGATTAGATTTTTCAAGAGTAATAAATAGCAATCTGAGGCTTGGTAAGGAAAGAAAGCCTCCCCAATGTGGGGGTAGGATATCTTAAAATTCCGCATGTGGGCCTTCTAGTAATACCATGTCCCTATTCTTAACAGTGCTGTCTATCCTCCAAATTAGAGATCCTGTTTTCTTCCCTGCAAAATAAATCCCTAGTCTGGGCTTCCCCGGTGGCGCAGCGGTTGAGCGCTGGGTTGCGAATCTGCCCACAGATTCTGCAGCCCGGTTCGATCCCCGGCCACCGGGCGAGGGTCCCACATGGCCCGCAGACCTCGCCTGCTGCCTGCTGCTCCCCTCAGCAGTGTACTTCATCAGTCTGCCTGCTCCGCTTTGCCTCTGGTGAATTCTCTCACCCTCCAGCGCTTCTGACTGTGCCCAGTGCTTGTATGAATAAATAAAATCAAATCAAATCAAATCAAATCAAATCAAATCAAATCAAATCAAATCCCTAGTCTTCTGGTGGGGTGGAAGCATTCACTAAATCAGGGAGATGATCTTGGGGTCCAACTGCTCTGTAAATATAATTAGACTGATTTTTCCATTAGGAACCTCATCTTTACCCCACTTAGAAGTAACAGCTAAAGCCCTTTTCTAAACCTTTTGTGGGTCTTCAGAATTAATCAAGTAACTTCTCAATAGTCTCCACTGCATTTAAGCTTCAGCTTTTTGGACTTGCCCATGTGTATCTGCTTACCAGCTTTCACCATGCTGTTACTATTGCTGCCTTTCCTTATCTTTCTGAAATGATGCCTTTTGAAAATTCCTTTTCTGTCATTTCAGTAGGTCTTGAAAGGAAGCAGAGGTAAACACTTGTGCTCACTTGCCATCTGCCATCTTTCACTGTACTCGAGCCAATTGCATTATTGATCCAGGTGTGTTGTCCTTTTCAGCCTCTACTCAGTCAGCATTGGCAGTCAGAATTGTTCATTCAGATGAACAAATAAAGATCAAGGGTAAGGGCAATAAACCAGGCCCTTACTTACTCCAGGTCCTTGTAGAATACACTGCTGTTGAGTACAGATTTTCAGATGCAAATATCAACACTCACACTTGCTTCCCCAATAACAGGTTTCAGAAGCAGCTGCAACACTACCACTTTGCTTAGCAAAGACTCCTACAAGGACTGGAAATTGTGGTAGAGTGTTCTCAAGGCTCTTTAAGGAAGAGGACCAGAGACATGACTTTCTAATTGTTTCCTCAGGAAGAAATCCAATTACCTGTACAAATCTAAACATTAAAGCAAAATGTGGAGGTTTTTTTCTCTCCTGCAGTAACCATGCCATTGACAAGTTACCAGGGATTCTGGAGGGTGATAGGAAATAAATGTTTTACAATAATGGGTGGCAGACTGTGGTTTAATTGGAAAACCTTTAGTTTTCTTGAATCTGTGCTTTTTCTTGAGTTTTTCAGTTACTTGAGTCCTCTTACTAAGTACTAGCTTCTGGCCAGCAGAGTGGGAGGCTTATGATGTTGGAACTAAAGAGATGTGGGGAGGAATTTGCCTCTGTGCTCAGGGTATCTTGGTCTTCAATAAATACTTACTGAAGTACAAAAGTAGATAATTCACTCCAAAAGCATATTCTCTACATGGCCAAAGATATTTTGTGAGCATGAACAAATAAAGCTTTAGAAAGAGTAATAATCAGATGAAAAGTAATTACTAAACTGACTTCTTTTCCATGCATGCTTATAAAACTTAACCAAATTTAAGGGACAGTGAATAATTGCCTGACAAAATGGTATGCAAAATATTCAAAGCATTGAATGCTGTCTGGTGTGGCTGCAGGTGTCAGGGCTGCACATCTGGAATCCCAAACAATTCTGTGAATAAAACAGGGCAAGGAAAATATTTGGATCTTAAAGCACATGTCTATTTTATGCATCTTTTCCTCTGTTTTTCAATGCAATGAGAATATTAAACTGGGCATACTAAACTTGTAGTATTATATATAAGGCAATTCTGAATAAGCTGTTTTGACTAGATTAAGTAATTGTTCAGTCAAAAACTACTCTATAACAAGCTTGAATGACAATTTAAAATCCTTTAGTTTCATATATGAGAAAATTGATATATTCTAGTTATCTTGTCAACATGTAAACACAATGGTATTCTGGGGTTTAATATGTAAAGCGGGTGTGAATATTCCAGGGATTTTATCCTGGAGTATTGTATCCTCTTGTGATAATTTTAGACTTGAAAAATATATGACATCACTCATAGGAAATATTTAAACTGTTTTACTATGTATGGCAGATATTACTTATTAGCACTTATTCACCTTTCCACTGGTAGTGCATTTCCCAGAGCTCTTTTCAGTTGGGCTCCAGGGAGATTTTGTCAATTGGACACCTTGATGGAGTCGTCAAAGGCACAAGGAGTAGTAACCATCTTGCTTCTACCACGCCTAATGCAGAAGCACCAACAGTGGTGACCAAATGGTCGTGGTTCTTGTTCAAGACTGTCAGCCATGGGCTCCTGCACGGGAACCAGTAATTTCTGTATCTCAGGTTAGTATCAACCTTTCTCTAGTCTAGCATTCACTCTCTTCCATAGGCTTCATACATAGGCCATGTAGAGTTTAAAGTAGTTTCTGCTTTTTATCAATCTGGGTATCAGCTGATAAAGACTAGAATTTCTTAAAACTGAAATCATGATTTTCCTATGGCCTTTGATAAAGTATTCTTCTATAATTTTAGGAAGTTGGCTAGGTCCTCATGATTTTCCTAGAGAAAAAGTTTTCTTTTTTTTTAACTTTTGCTTCACTGCTAGGTAAAATACTGATGAAAGCTGGGCTTGTATTTAGTATATAGGGAGCCTAATGATTTAGCTTCAGTCATGATACATATAAGCTTATAAGCAATAGTAACAAGCAGTCAAACAAAATGAGCTGTCTTCCTTTACACTCTGGAATACACACTTATTCCTTGAGATTGCAATTAATATTAGTGTTTACTTGTGTATTTTATAAAATTACCACTATATGAATCACCTTAGTTATTACTAGTTTATCTGAGAGATTTTTTTAGTTCCAAAAGCACTTTAGGTTCTTCAAGTCAACCTCTACTCTGGAATCCTCCTCTAATGGTCACAGAAATAGAAAACGTGCCACCTGCAGACTTTCAGATAAACCGATTCCCATTGCCAGTGGGTGTGGAAGTGTCTACTTTTAATGGGATCTTTCAAAATTGCGTCATGCTTGCACTTTAGTCTCTTTCCTAAATCCTGATAAATGGCAAAGTGCTTTCTTTGCACAGGGGCAGGATTCTGCTATTAGAGATGTTTGTACGGTAACCCCATGCTATCTCTTACAAGTCCTGCCAATGCTTTTATCATTTCAAATCTAAAAAGGCCTCAAATGGCTTCGTTAAAACCCTCTCTATGAAAAGTCAAAATCCTTCAAAAAGTCAGAATGAGATGCAGCTATATAAAGACATGGCACTTACATCATTTCCCAGGTAGGAAATGTATTGGCTATACTGTACCATGTTACAGTTGAAGAAGAAAATTGTTACATAAATCTGAGATATCAGCACATAAGTTTTAAATATACACATTAAATTATTTGGTGCAAGACTCTGCCATACATGAAGGCAGAGACAGCATTACCCAAGTGGTGAGATTTGAAGAACAGTGGGTAAACCCTGGACAAACCCTACTTGCAGCTGACTGGGATGCCAGTCACTCTTATTCAAAAGCCAACTCTATGGGGGAATTCATTTTCCACTTTCCAAATGCAGATGCCTCTGGAAAGGAAAAAAAAAAAAGTGCTTTTTGTAATCACATTTTTCTCAGAGTGATTCTGAGATTTAAGGTGGGAAATTCCAAAGATAGAACTGGGAGCTTATTTTCTTAAGTAAATGGATAATTAAAGAGAGAATGAGAGTGCATTTAGCTCATATTTTTCCCCAAGGGAATTGTTTGGTTATCTTAAAATATCTGTCTTGCATGGTCTAGATCTTTTGGCATACACGATACAAGAGAACTGTGAGGCACTGCATTTGATGACTTCTTTCCTTCTTAAAATGTTGGATAGGGCCTCCCCTGGTGGCGCAGCAGTTGAGCGCTGTGCTGCAAAGCTGCCCGCAGTTTCTGCAGCACCGGTTTGATCCCTGGCCACCCAGAAAAGGTCCCATGTGGCACGCAGACTTCTCCTGCCACGCCCGCTGCTCCCCTCAGCAGTGTACTTCGGTCCATCTGCCTGTTCTGCTCCCCACTCTGGCTCTGGTGAATTCTCTTACCCTCCTGTACTTCTGACTGTACCCAGTGCTTGTATAAATAAATAAATAAATCTTTAAAAAAAGTTGGATCAAACTACACCCTCAGTAGAAGAAGTAAACAATATGTGTGGCTTATATTAATAACCCTGAAACTTTAAGAAAATGTCAACTTGTGTTCAGTGGTCAACATATAAAAAGGCATTTCAGAAATATTTTTAATAGATTTATTTTGCCAAATAATTTTTCAGAATTCATTAATGCTAGCTCCTTCCTGGACATGTTGCTTAATTTTTAAAAATACCTAAGAGGTGTTTGGCATGATTCTTGTCCTCAAGGATTTCTACATTTGTTCATTCAGCAAATATTCATCAAGTACCTGGGCAGAGGTCTAGAGCCTAGAGATAAAGCAATAAACAAAATCTATAAAAAACGAAGATAGAAATATATTTTTTAAAAATCTAGATCACACTCACCTGGCAGAGAAGACACCATGATCACAAAAGTCTTTTTCCCAGAGCGAAGGTCATCTCTTGTATTCCAGATGTGTTGATCCCTGTGATTTCCCCACATGTGGAAAAGTTGACTTGATAATTTGTAGTAGTGAAGGACTGTATTTGCTGTCTCCCCTGGGGAAAGAAAAGAGTAGATGTAGTGCACAGACTGCTAGAACTGTAGGATTCCAGAAAGAAGGTAAAATACAGAGCAGCACAGTGTGACTTCAGCCACAATAAAGAAATGGAATGACACAAACTATGTAAGTTTCTTTACAACAAAATGAAAAGGCATTCTACTAAATGGTAGATCTTAGTACGTCATGTGTCTGGCAAGGGGTTAATTTCCAAAATATATAAAGATCTCAAAAAATTCAACAGCAATAAAACAAATATCCTGATTGAAAAATGGGAAGAGGATCTGAATGGACATTTTTCTAAAACTGACATACAGATGACAACAGGCACATGAAAAAAAATGTTCATCACACCTTATTATTAGGGAAATGCATATTAAAATAGTGAGATATCACCTCACACCTGTAAGAATGGCCATTATCCAAAAGACAAGAAACAACGAGTACTAGAGAGGAAGCAGGGAGAAAGGAATCCTTGTGAAATTGTTTATGGGGATGCAAATTTTATAGCCATTATGAAAAATAGTATGCAGATTCCTCAAAATTTGGAAATAGAAATTCCTTATGATCCAGTCATCCCATTTCTGGATATTTACCCAGAGTACAAAAACACTTATTTAAAGAGATATATGCACTGCCAAGTTCATCACAACAGTATTTGCAATAGCAAAAATTGAAAAACAAACCTAAATGTCCATCAATAGATGATTGGATAAAGATGTGAGATATATATATATGCATGCAATGAAATATTAATTAACTATAAAAACGAAATTCTGCCATTTGCAACAATATGGAGGGTATTATGCTTAGTGAAATAAATCAGGCAATGAAAGACAAACATTGTATGATTTTATTCATATGACATATAAAGAAACAAAAACAAATATATGAACTAAATCAAATAAAAATCAGCTTTTAGACTATAAGATCAATTAATATTTACCAGAAGGGAGAAAAGAGGTAGGTAAATCAGCCAAAAATAATCAATTTTATAGTGAAGAATGGAATTAGACCTCTGATTTCTTAATGTGGTATATAAGCTGCTATTGATTTATAATGATGTATATCTGAAACCATGTAGTGTGGTACCCATGTTGGCTCAATAAAAAAAAAATTCCAAAAGAGCAATCTGACACTTACGGAAAATTTACATGTTACAAAGAGCTACGAGAGAAACAAAACAAAGGGTGATTTTACAGAAGATGCATTGGAAGACCACTCGGATGATCTGACATTTATGCTTGAACCCTGACACACGAAAAAGAGTCAGGCATGTGAAGAAGCAAAAGAAGAGCACAGCAAGCTCAGCATTCAGCTTTCAGAGGGACCAAAGGCAGTAATGAAACAGGTGTATTTAATTGTAGAAACAAGGCTGGCATGGCAGATGCATTGGAAGAGAGGGTGACAGCCATGTGAGGTTGGAGAGATGGGAAAGACTAAACTCTTTACTCCATGGTAAAGAGCTTGGGTTTTATTCTGATCAAAGGAACTCACTGGTTGATTTGAAGCAGGGTATGATCCAATTTGTGTTTATAGATATGAAATTTATGTCTACAAAAATCATTCTGACTGCATGTGCACAATGGATTGATGAAAGAAGTGATGAGAAAGCACTGAAGGCAATACCTTTAGACAAGGTGGAGGCATCACAAGGTTTTCTTTGGCAAAATTAGCAGCACCTAAAAGTCAAGTTAATAAGACTAAGCTGCCTTCCATTTGTCTGCAGCACTTACTCTTTTTATGGTTTAGAAATATTGAATCAACTCAGCAGTGGCAAATGACTTTTCTCTCGGGGTGACTCAATAAACTTTCAAAATCAGTATCTAGTTTAATGCACAATGAGATGTGGTTTGTTCTTTTTTAAACCAAACTCCTCACTAGTCTCTTCCTTGTTTTTGTTGTCATTATTATGACTGTTGTTGTTGTTTCTCATCTTGATTCCTCCAAGCAATATTCATTAGCCCATGTCACTCCTATTGTCCCACATTCTAGCTCAAAAAGGAGATTTTCACATTTTCAGTCATACAGTAGGTCTGGTGTTCTTTGAGTTGGGTAGACTATGATTGCATTTAAAATTTTGTTGTACACACTTGGTGAGCTGGGTAAGATAACACTGCTTGAAGAATGCTGTCTTAACAAGATATTTAAGTTTTAAGATGCTACATGTTAACACTTTTCACTCTGGAAAAAAGTTGAAGCTACAACCTAAGATTTCCCTCAGCCTGTACAATCATTGCTTTGTTTATTTACCTCATCCAAGCTGGCTCAGACTCTCCTGCCCATTCTTACTGACATGATAGATCAGGTGTGCTTCTCATTTCCAGGGAATTTGCTTTTAGAAGAGTTTGAAGTAGGTATTTTCTACTATAATAAAAGAATTGCAGGTAAAAGTGGAGAAGATATTTGGGCTTGGACACAGGGGGATTTCCTCCTGCAAATAATCAGTTTTATATCCTGGAATTGCAATTTCCTTTACCACCAAAAGAAATTTAAATGCTCATTTCTCTCTCATGTAATATCTGTCATGAATGTCTCAATCTCTGGAATGCATATAAATCCATTAACAGTTGACTTGGGAATGGACTTCTAAAGGTTCACCAGCTATTATTTGCCAGTGGTAATGCCAGGACTAAATACTAAATCAGCAGCACAGTAATGTACAAACAGCCAGAACATCTGGAAAACATCAAAGGTGTAAAAGAAACAATTTTCCATGGCTAGGTCTCAGACTAATTCGAACATAAACAAATTCAATTTGATGATAAATTCTCTTTGGCTCTTGTTTTTGTGTTGGAAGCATCAAGCTCCTGCCAGGACAACCCCTATGGCTGAAAGGAAAAAGTTAAAACAGCAATTAGATGGTACTACTATGGCTCCAATATAATCCCTCCCTTGATTTCAAGCCTCTGCCTGCCAGAGCTCTTGGCCACCATCCCAGGGCTTAATTGCATTTTGCCAGTAGCCGTAGTACACTTGACACTATATCTCGCTAACTAATTTCAGACATAGGTCTCATATCCAATTCAGTAAAAAGGAAGTGAAGTAACTCTGACAGAAAAATGGAAGTGTAAAGCCTGACTTAATTAAGAGAATAGCTGCTTCTGAGGTAGAAAGAAGGGGGGCTAAAATAGATGGATAAATAACAGTATTGAATAATAGTATTTTTTGGTAAAGCAAAAAGATAATGATAACAGGAGACACTACTACATTTTCAAGTAGAATCAATTTTTAATTGGAATTTGGCCTTATGATAGTTGAAGGGCAGTGAAGCTTAGTGGAATGAACTCTGGTCTCATTCTAGAGATTATTGGCTGTAGGTCACATGCAGTGTATTTTTGTCTTACCAATGCAGATTACTGAATATATGAACTTCAGAAGTCATTTAAAAATATTCTGTCTCTATGGGCCTCCCCGGTGGCGCAGGGGTTGAGCGCTGGGTTGCAAAGCTGCCCGCAGCCGGTTCGATCCCCGCAGCGCCGGTTCGATCCCCGGCCACCTGGCGAGGGTCCCACATGGCGCGCAGACCTCTCCTGCCACCCGCTGCTCCCCTCAGCAGTGTACTTCGGTCCTTCTGCCTGTTCTGCTCCCTGTTCTGGCTCTGGTGAATTCTCTCACCCTTCAGCGCTTCTGACTGTACCCAGTGCTTGTATAAATAAATAAATAAATAAATAAATAAATAAATAAATCTTTAAAAAAAAATTCTGTCTCTATTTTCTCATCAATGTATTGAGGCTAAAAGTTGCTCTCCTTATCTATATGCAGGGTTGATAATTAAAATACTTGGAAAATTACGAAATGATACTAAAATCTAACTAGTCAATAGTTCCAATAAAGGTTTCAGGAAAAATAAATGTTTATCAGCTACAGTCATCTATAAAATTGTGAGGAAGTCTGAAAGAAGGTAAGAAAGAGTATGAGATTTATGGTTCATAATAGGATGGATAAAAATATGGCCTCCTTGAGCTAATTCTTTTTTTTTTTTATTAGATAATAAATTTTATTGTTATATTCCCCATACAATTGCAGCGCCCCCATTCTGACCCCAATCCCTCCCCTCCCGCCCCTGCCCCCCTAAAAGTGTCTCTGGTTCATAGTTTTTTGTTGATTTTGATTTTCACTTTCTTATAGATATTCATTTTCCTGGTCCCTTATTTAAGTTTTCTAGATTCCTGCTATGAGTGAGACCATCCGGTATTTTTCTTTTTCTTTTTGGCTTATTTCGCTGAGCATGATCCCTTCCAGCGCCATCCATGTTGCTGCAAATTGCATGTGTTTATCTTTTTTGAATGCTGAGTAATATTCCATGGTATATATGTACCACATCTTCTTGATCCAGTCATCTATTTTTGGGCATTTGGGTTGTTTCCAAAGCTTAGCTATTGTAAACAGTGCTGCTATAAACATAGGGGTGCAGGTGTTCTTTGGAATTGATGTTTCTGTGTCCTTTGGGTAAATACCTAGGAGTGGAATTGCTGGATCATATGGAAGCTCTATGTTTAGTAGGTCCAGAAATCTCCACACAGCTTTCCACAGTGGTTGGACCAGTTTGCACTCCCACCAACAGTGCAGAAGAGTTCCTTTTTCTCCACACCCTCGCCAACATTTGTTGTTGCTAGTTTTTTTAATATGTGCCATTCTCACTGGTGTAAGATGGTATCTCATGGTAGTTTTGATTTGCATTTCCCTGATGACAGTGATGTTGAACATTTTCTCATATGCCTGTTGGCCATTTGCATTTCCTCTTCAGAGAAGTTTCTTTTTAGCTCTTCTGCCCATTTTTTGACTGGATTATTTTCTTTGTTGTTGTTGAGTCTCATCAGCTCTTTGCAGATTTTTGTGATCAGTCCTTTATCATTAGTGTTGGGTGCAAAAATGTTCTCCCAGTTGGTGGGGTTTCTCTTTGTTTTTGTTATTGTCTCTTTTGCTGTGCAGAAGCTCTTTAATTTGATGTAGTCCCAGCTGTTTATCTTCGCCTTCACTATCACTGCTTTGGGTG